AATGGGAAATCATCGACCCGGTGAGGGAAATTTTATAGCCTGTCCGGCAAGCTATGCCCCTGCTCATAGCTGGGAATGGTCAGTGAGTTCCCGAGATATTCTGAAAGCAACGATTTTATTAGGTAGAGAAAGTTCGGTGAAGAAAGCGTGATGTAAATTATTGTACTTTTTGCATAGTACGCGAAAAGGATTGTGCATAGGTAGGAACAAGGGGCGATAATGTCTATTGGTAATCAACGACCCTATACAGTAGAAACAATATAAGTTAATGATAATATTTTAATTAGAGATAGGAAACAAAAGAAACAGAGAGTACATAAAGATAGGTTGAAAAAGTATAATAACTTAACGTTTTCGTAAAAAGGTCAAGGTATACAAAATGTATTAAAAGAAAAGAAGGAAAAAAATAAGAATAAACTTATTTTTCCGAAAAACAAAACTTTAAAAAAAAATAATAATACAAAACAGCATAAGAGACAAAACATTTTTCTTAGACAACTATTTTATGTACAGTATAATTTGCTTAGCTGCCTCGAGTACTTTGCACAGACATTAGAGGCAGCTATCCTAAAAAGGCAGTTACTTAATTTATTTTTTTTTCTTAAAATTGAATCGATTTCATAGTGACCTCTATCTATTTTAAGTTGTACTGAATTATATTTAACAGTACGTAAGAAAAACAAATCAAAAATCACCACATCTGATCATAGATGGCGCAGTTAACTTACATGATATTCATAGTAATTGACAAAAAATTATTGCCGATAGGAGGCGCTTAAGTGCAAAAGGCTGTTAAGTTATATGCACTTAACGTAACTAATTTCATACAAAATTAGCTCTTATTGCAGCGAAATGAAAATTTCAAGCAGCTATCTTACCGATGCTGAGCAAATTATATTGTATAAGAAAACTCGCTAAAAAAAATTAAATAAACAAAACACAAAAAAAATGATTTTTTACAATACATATATATTTTCGCATATTTTAAAAGAAAAAAATCTAAATTATTTGCGTAATACATACACAAATTTATTTAAAAAAAAAAATTATTTTTTTGATTACAATTAAGTTTATTAAATAACTACACTGATCGCGCCATAAGTTTATGAATAATATTTAGTAACGATGTCAGCGATATTTAGTATTTTTGATTACATTCCTTGAAATGTTCATTGAATTGAATAACTATCGATATTGTCAATCGATGTAATGTACATTGAACTGTAATCAGTTTGTCTGTTGAATTAAAGAGTTGAAGCGGAGCTGATCGGCATTTTTGCTGGGAAGCGAATTTTCCCAATAATTATTAATTTCAACGCTCGTGGAGAACTCTAGCTCGAATATTGGCGCCCGAGCAGGGACAGTTAGTTACAAAATTATACATTGTGGTAAAATCAAAGCATTGGGAAAATTGTTAAATTTTCGTGCTAATTATTTGTCGGCACAATGGCTCCAAAACTGAGTAAAGAAAATGAATGTTTTACGGCACGGGCAACCTGCAGAGTGGGAAGCACGGCAAAGCCTAATTGAATAAAATTATAGTAGTTTTGTGTAATCCAAGCCAAAATAAAACCAGAGATTGATAATACAAGTGAATATGACAGTCGCCAAGCGACCGAAGAGCTTTATTGCGAAATAAACGAATGAACTTGGCTAATCGAGAAGTTCGGCGGAACAATGGTTCTCGACCCAACGGACAAAACGTATTAAAGAAAGCTAGCTTAGCTGTAGCTAGCAGCAACATTGGCAAGTCGTGTTACATTTGTACTAGTGCACATGGATTAAAAGCATGCCCAAAATTTAAAGAATTAACACCCTTGCAGCGGTTTCAGGAGGTTAAAACACGCGCTGTGCCAAATACGTTTTAGTAAGCGGCATCTAACAAGGAGTTGCGATAGTCAACGCTGTGCCATATGCAACAAACCTCATCATGAATTGCTTCATCGTAATGTCTCGGATAGCGTAGGTGACGGTTTGCATAATGGGCAATCACAATAGAAAACAGTTCTTTACATAACGTACTATAAACGAAGTCATCTGTAAGTCGCCTAGCGACCGCCATGGTTATGATAAAAGGGAACGATGGAATTTATCATTATTGTAGATGTGTATTAGACTCTGACAGTCAAATTAACTTTCTTACATCTAGATTAGTTTCGACTTTGAATCTAGAAATGCGTGAATCAAGTATGCGACTCAGTGGGATCGGCAATGCAACATCTCAGATTATTAGAGTGACAAGGTTTGCAGCCACGGACAATTTTTGTGTGTTAACAGAAATTACGCAATATAACCCGACAAGCTCCCCTCTAGGTTTGAATTGGCAACCACACAAGGGAGTAACACTGGCGGATCCGACATTTAACTGTTCTCAAGTAATTGATATACTATTGGGAGTTTCTTTATTCTTCAAGCTGATTGTTGCAGGTCAAAACAAACTCGGACAAAAATTGTCCACCCTTCAGAAATCCCTATTAGGCTGGGTAGTCGTTGGCGAGTTTACACCCAGCACTCGCATGTCGCTGCTAGCCATGGAGGAGCAAAATGTGCTAAGCTCGATTTTGGAAATGCAGAGGAAATACCGTTACTGTTGACAAATTAACTGAAGAGGAAAAGCAATGCGAAAACAGTTTCGTTTCTAATGTTGGACAATTTGATGATGGCCATTTAACTGTAGCACTTCCATTCAAAAGTCCCAAGGAAGTACTAGGGGACACATACCAGATTGCCCTTACTAGATTTGTAAAATTAGAAAAGAACTTGAATCGTAATCGCTCTCTAAATAAACGGAAAGTCTGACGACCAAATTGCGCGTCGTATTTGACGCTTCGTGCAAGTCCAGTAACGGCGTCTCACTAAACGATACTCTGCTTGTTGGGCCGACCTTGCAGCCCGATCTTTTGAGACGATGACTAGATTTCGCTTTTGTAGGTTCGCTCTAACAGCAGATATAGCCAAGATGTATAGGTAAGTTTTAAGTTTTAAGATTTAAGCTACACAATCAGCGTAGTAATTGTCATGAAGCCCTCAGCAATGCGGACGACTTAGAGCCTTTAATACTTAAAAATGCAGATGTAGCTAAGGCTCTTGGAATATGCTGGGTCAGTCAACGCGACCAATTTCAGTTCACATTTAATGTCAAATACTCTACAACTGTTACGAAGCGAACAGTTCTATCAGAACTAGGTCAAGTTTTTTATCCCTTGGGATTTTTGAGTTATATACTGATTAGAGGCAAGATATTCGTGCAAGAGTTGAGGTTACTGAAACACGACTGGGATGAAGTGCTGCCGTCAAGTTACGCGTCCCGATTGCAAGGATACCGAGAGGAATTGAAGCTTATAAATCAGTGTTCGCTGCCACGATCGGTGGTTCCCATCACGTTTGAGGTGGACTCATTAGAGCTTTTGGGGTTCTCTGATGCATCCAATCGAGCTTACGGGGATGTAATTTATGCTCGCCTGCGTAATAAAGACGGAGCGGTTTCAGTGCGCCTAGTGACTGCCAAGTCCAAGGTCGCTCCAGTCAGAGCGGCTTACTTGCCTCGCTTAGAGCTGCAAGGAGCACTTTTAATGGCGAGACTTATGGCAAAGGTTCTCACTTGTATTCATCTAAAGGTTTCGCAGGCACGATATTTTACAGACTCCACAATTGTGTTCAACTGGTTGTCATCTCATGCAAGCAGATAGACGACTTTCGTAGCCAACCGGGAGGCTGAAATAAGCAATAAGCAATATTCAGAATATTATCAAACGGACTTGACTAATACAACCTTATGGTGGGGGGCCCTGATTTTTTGAGGCATCCAGTAGATGACTGGGCTGAACAGAGGAAGGGTATGTTTTCACCTGCAGTTAGTTGCCTTGAGACGAGGGAGACTTACGATGTTATCGGGGAATGTAAATTTACAAACGACTTTTTGAAATAGTTTAGAATAGAAGACATTATACGAAGAGTCAATTTCACCAGTAATTAATTTATGGATAAACATTACACCCAGCATGGTTCTACGATTAGTTAAGGAAGGAATGTTAATCATCAGAACTCTGCTGGAGTATGACGGTAACCGCACACGAGGATCCCAATTAAAACTACAAAGGGCAAACAACAAGAATAGATTCAGAACGTATTCAATTCTGTCTTGATGGATAGAGTACTGTGGTGACCAGATACATGGGGCATTCACAAGTATAGGTCGTACCAAAGATATACAAAGGGTTTTTGTCGTGTACGGATCGTCAAACTCCTTCGACCATCGCTTGATGAAAACCAAAACAATTCTGGCCTTATTGACCACGGTATTAGCATGAGGAATAAATTTAAGTTTATGATATAAATGACACCTAGATCATTAACTTGATTAGAAGTACTGTTAACACGCTCAAGCGGTAAGCCATCAAGGATGTAAGAAACCAATTGAGGGAGGCTTCTATTGAAAGTCATTACCTTACATTTGGAGCAATTTAAGTTTAAGAGGTTGGCTAGACACCAAGCCTGAAACGCATTAATGTCAGCTTGTAAGAGATAACATGATGCCATATCTTTATATGCAAGGCATAACTTCACATAGTCAGCATACATTAGTACTTGAGAGTGAGACAGTATTAATGAAAGAGTAAAGAGTTAATGAAAAGAGTAAAGAGTAGCGGGCCAAGATGACTACCTAGAGTAACTCTGGAAGTCACCTGAATTCGTTTAGAAAATAAATTTCTGAAAAGAACCTTTTGGGTTCTGTTACGCAATTACTCTGAAATCCAGTTCAAGGGATTGACTAGGAAGCCGAGGAGGCATAATTTATGAAGCTGCAAGGAGTGGTTGACAGAGTCGAGCCTTACTGAAATCAGTGTAGATGACGTTAGTCTGCATCCTTTTCTTAAACCCATCAGTTGTAAGAGTAAGTGGTTGTAGACCTCCGCTTCACGATCCCATGTTGAAATGTTGAAACCATTGAAATCGTGTCAGATCTTTTAACGAATAAGTTTTTGGAATCGTTGAAACGCATGGTTGCCCGTCGTGGACCAGTATCGCACATGTATTGTAACAACGCCACAAATTTTGTAGGAGCATCCAACAAGCTACTCGAGTTGAAGTTCATGTTCAACACTAGCACTCAAGATGCTATCCTATCATATTGTTCCTCTGAAGAGATAACCTTTCATTTCATTCCACCTAGGGCTCCACACTTTGGCGGTCTTTGGGAGGCCGCTGTCAAGAGCGCAAAGGGTCTGCTGGTGCGTACCCTCGCTTACACCCGGTTCACCTTTGAGGAACTTAACACCGCAGTCGTTGAGATAGAAGCAGTAATCAACTCTCGCCCGCTGTCACCGCTATCATCTGATCCCAACGACTTCAGCGCTCTCACTGCAGGACACTTTCTAAATGGAAATGCACCGCGCGCTCTGCCCGAGCGTGAGATTATCACCAACAACATCTCCAACTTGGATCGTTTCGAGCAGATCACAGCTGTTAAACAGCAATTCTGGCGTCGTTGGTCTGCGGAGTATGTGAACGAGCTTCGAGCTAGGACAAAGTGGACTTCGGCTTCTCCAAATCTCACGGTTGACTCTATAGTCATCATACATGAGGACAACACACCGCCATTACACTGGAAATTAGGCCGTGTTGAGTCTGTTGTGAGTGCAAAGATGACCGTGTTCGTGTCGCATATATTCGCACTGCCTGTAGACTCTGTTGCCGGCCAGTACATAAGCTGGCATTTCTACCTGTCTCTTGAAATATAATTCTTTCAAGGCGGCCGGGATCCCAATTAAAATCACGAAGGGCAAACAACAAGAATAGATTGTGAACGGATTCAATTCTGTCTTGATGGATAGAGTACTGTGTTGACCAGATACATGAGGCATACTCAAGTATAGGTCGTACCAAAGATATATAAAGGATTTTTGTCGTTTACGGATCGCCAAACTCCTTCGACCATCGCTTGATGAAACCAAAAACAATTATGGCCCTATTGACCACGGTCTTAGCAATAGAGTCGAATTTAAGTTTATGATCAAGGATGACACCTAGATCATTAACTTGATTAGAAGTACTGTTAACACGCTCAAGCGGTAAGCTATCAAGGATGTAATAAACCAATTGAGGGGGGCTACTATAGAATGTCATTACCTTGCATTTGGAGCAGTTTAACTTTAAGAGGTTGGCTAGACACCAAGCCTGAAACGCATCAATGTCAGCTTGTAAGAGATAACAAAGATAATAAAGAAATCAGTCTGCATCCTTTTCTTAAATCCGTCAATTACAAGTGAACTAAACTCAAGAAGGTTAGTGGTTGTAGACCTGCGCTTCACGAAACCATGTTGGGAAGGTGAAATGATAGAACTACATAAATTTTGCAGTAGAGATGTTATTATTCTCTCAAAAGCATTAGGTATAGCGGATAATTTGGAAATACTCATTTTCTTAAGGAGAGGGATAATGTATGATTCCTTTCAAATGGTAGGAAAATATGTAGAGTTTACCGGCTTGATAGTGCTAAGGTCGCTGAGAAGCGAACTTTCCGTAATAATGGGATTTAAGATGCAGTTTGACCTCTGTAACTGATAAGGATAAGGCTGATTTTTATTATACCTGGAGGAGTAGGTAGTTTGAAAATTGAAAATAAAGCGGGGGCGCTATGTACGAGAAGTACAAAGCGCAAATATATATGCATGTGTACGCTCTCCCGCTCTGACGAAATTAGCTTTAACATAATTAGCTTAAGTCCATTTTATGTATGGAAATAAAAAACAAAATTAATAAAGAACTTAAACGGAGCAGACGCTCCCTACGACAAAAGAAGTGTTGAATATTAAAAGACAAATATTACAAACGAATACACTAAGAGCAATTTCTTTATTCATGTGAGCTCCTTTCTAAATTTTATTCGTTTTTCTGGGACGTATTCCACCTGAGCTAGCGCCATAAATGCAGCGCCGTTAGAATATTTATAACAGTTTATAGTTTTTTACATAGTGATATTTTTTCAAATTATCCACTGCGATATGACTGCCCTGAATGCTGGTGAGCCAGGCAGTTGAAGCAATATTTGTTGATCAGATTGCTCGGCACTTGCGTAGTGCATAGATACCTCTGGCTCGCTTGGATGATGGGGCCATACTCGCTTCAGTAGAAAGAAGGACCAATTTGGCTATTGGCCTTCGGAGTACACCTCGAGCGGTAAGCTCATCCAAACCACGGACCTTATCATCTGGGCCTAAGCAAGTGAGCTGGACTCGGCTAAGGCGGCAATAACTTACTGGTAGCTTATCTTCCTTGATAAACACAATGTCACCGACTTGGGAGGTCCCTTGTAGGGAATTGCCACTTATTTCTCTGGTGGAGCTCTTTTAGATACTCGTTCTTCCACTGAAAGCAAAGTTTGTGTTGGGGAGCTTTTAGGCGCTGAAAGGCAGTTAATGGCGGAGATGGCGTCTTCTTTGATTACTGGCTCGTTAGTTGAAAGTAGTGGGCCCAATAAATCGGTCGGATCTTCCGACATTGGAGAGATTGGCCTGAAGTTAAGGCAACCTTCAATTTTGGACAGGAGAGTCGAGAACTCCTCAAATGTATACTTCGAGGATGACACCTGCTTTCCACAATCCGCCTATGTGAGGAGCGCAAGGAGCATTGAAAGGACAACACAAGTTATAATGGCTGTGTTTGAATATGATGAAAAAATCTCTCGAAATTATGGATAGGGCTTCCACAAATGTTTTTCCATTATCTGAATAAATCTGCTGGGAAAGCCACGTCTTCATATGAGCCGTGAAAACTCAGCCATCAATCTTTCCGTGGTTAGATACCCTTGGTGATCTTGCACGCTCGACCAATGTAATATGTAATGTAATATCGAAAGGTCCGGCGAAAACTGCTCCCGTGTGTGTGAAGGGTCGGAAAAAGGTTTATCTCACCCATAAGTTGCGCCTGAATTCGCAGACGATGTATTACGTATTACGTATTACACAGATCTTGCAGGAGTTTATTGTAGACTTTACCAGGACCTTGAATTTCGAAATCCAGTATTTGGCTCTTATGAGACGCATTACCAACTGATTGCCTCCATGAATACGAATGAGGTGGGTGAATCGGACCAGGAGCTTAATAAGGTTTACGAAAAATACCCTTTGGTCTATGAAAGGATTCAGATTGAACGCGTTGCTTGATATCTTTATTTCCTTTTTGTCAAGCAAACAGCTTTACTCCTTCGCATAGTCTTGGCGTTGAGTATGCTTGATAAGCATAATTAATTATATCGAAAGCGTTGGGACACTGTTGTTGCATATCACGAGCAAGTTGATAGAAGACCCGGATTGCGAGGTATGGAGCATAGATTACCCCAAAGATAACTGTATTGAGCTCGAAGTCACAAAGTTCTTCGTTCTCATTGCAAAATAATAATCGTTGGGCGTATGTCCTCGATTGACTAGGATTTGCCGATACATCTTAGTAAATATAGCATGATGTGGCATAAAAATTATTGGAGTTGCTGTTTAGAGAGACTTGCATCATATAACCTAAGTCGAAGTTCTGCTGAATGTGCTGGGACATAAGCTGATGCGTCGATTTGCAAAATAATTGTGCACATTCGCTTGCTGGGATGAAGAGGAATGTATCGAGTGAAGGAAACTGTTACAGCTTGGCATGGAGACTACAGCATGGGCAAATTGTGGAGTGTCATTACGGTGCAAGAGTGTATTGTGACGACCCTTGCACGTAAGGGTGCAATCCTTTAATTGATGGCCCCTCGCGAAAAAGTTCAAACATAGTTTTTGCTTTTGATGTAAGTTGCCCGTTCGCTGTCGGGCATTTGGAGAAATGGAAAGGGTGATTCTCCCTGGAGCATAATTGCACGATTGCGGCTTTGTTAGCGACCTTTTTCTCGAATGAGTTAAGCTTTTTTTGGTTAAAGGTTCTGTGAGAACAATTCTGGATTGCGCCTGATTAATTGCGCTTGTTTTAAGCTCTTCGATCGCTTCCAGAGTGCGTTCAAGTGGTCTAAGAGGAATGCGTTTCATCTCAAGCTATGATGAGATGTCGTTTTTTCTCAGGATAGACTTCTTATAAGGAGAGTGTGATCTTGGGTAGCTTGGAGAAGCATAGGAACACGAGGATACAATCCCAGTTTTTAATATTAATCTCGGATAACTCCAGAGCTGTTAAGCAACCTTGGATGGTGTTTTATTGCCGTTCCAGGCTCTTGGGAGATTGGCTTCAGGTTGATAGTTGATCCGTCAGATAAGCCCAGGTTTCGCATTGAGATGAAATAATTTATAGATTACGGTAAAAAGGTCTCGAAATGCGGGCGCACCTGGCATGTCAGAGCTTCCAGGAGTATTTATTTGTGCCTCAAACTGACTAAGCCTGTCAATGACAGCAATAAACTTGATTAAAGCTGCATTTGTCATATTTTGGGCCGTTTTGGCAGTAGCCCCCGTGTAAATTGAAATAGTTCTTTTGCATTGGGATCTTTATGCTTTGGACGTCGGGAGACCGATTTTAATCAGTGGACTTGGCACCGAACTTAGAGGTGCCTTGACAACGCCCCTCGGCGTAGAAGCAGAAGATTCACTTTGAGTATGGGGCGATGTTTCCCTTTTATTCTAAGGGCTGCTGTTGGAGAAGCTCTGGAGGTGCTTGCGGACAGAACTGACAATTGATTCTCGGTTTCTTTCCCTTTGCTAGCTGGCATACTAGGCTCAGACTGCGGTGCTTCGGAAAAAAAAACAATCGACAACAATTGTAATCGGATTGAGATCGTGTAGTATTGTCTTCCTCTCAATTTGCAAAAGAGAAATATTTAAATAATTTTTATTCAATTTGATTAATTAATGTAGAAAAATAATAAGTATTCCTCATAAAAATTTTCGATTATTTTATTATTATATTATAAGTTCTTGAATTATTGTAACAAAATAATTTATTTTTATATATTTTATATAATGTTCACTTATCATAAATAAATAATAATAAATTGTTATTCATTATTATTGTGCCTTTTGGAATGATAATAATGAACTGTAAGCAATTGGATACACACGGGTAAATAGAAACGCAGATCGGCAGCTACTGATATTTAACTATGTAATGTATGTGTATAACAACGCACATATGCCGGTTTCAATTGCAATATCGCTATAATTTTTATATGTGTTGTGATATTTAATTTATTATATATTGTACACCAAAGAGTACAAGATTATATGTGGACAAATAAAGTACGTATTTATCGGATGTGTTTAGTATGTGGTTCCACAAATATATTCATTTGCACTATGCAATAAACCACATTTTGATAAAATAATCTTGGCTTTGTATTTATTTTTACTAACTATTACAATTTGTTAAATACGACCGGAACAGC